TGCAAATTACTGACCTCTGTCATCATTTTAAGTGGGGGAACTTGCACAATCGGTGGCTGACTAAATACTTTTTTGCCCCACTGTATATATATGAAATAAATGTACTGTTTAAATGTCATACATACAGTTACTTTGATATTCAATTTCTGCAGGTTTGGTGGCTGACGGTGGTGTGAGAGAGTAAGTCTGCATTTCATTTCATTTCTTGCATTAATGTGTTTGACTTATTTCAGTGGTCATTCCAATTTCACTGTAACGGCTATGACCATTCAAATGAATGACCACACATACATCCTCTCAGCACTATTTCTAACTATACTATACAGTATTATAACTATACAGTTTGACAGGATTGTGTTTGACTGTGTGAGCGACACGGCACCGTTTCAGATCCTCAAAACAAACCAAGAATCTTTTTAAAAACTCAAGTTATAATTGTGCACCTTTAAAAACAACTAAGCTGACGTTATAATGGCAACATAAGTGACACATCAAACTACAGTTTGTATTTACTTTTGTATTTTCTAATTATTATTTTATTTTTTAATTCATTTTGAACTTTACTTGGTGTCCAGGATGGATTTTCTTCTTTCAGATTAGTTTTTAAAGTTTTTGAAAATGTTTAATTTTAGTTTAGTTTTCATTCGTTTCAGTGTTTATTATTCTAATGAGGAAATAAGTCATCAGCGCAGGCATTACAATGAAAACTAACTAAAGTAAAGTATTTTTTTTTATTATTATTATTTTATTCCATTTTCCAAGTTCCAAATTTAGTTTTCAGTTTAGTTTTAGGTAAATATAAAACAAACAGATGCAAACTCAATCTGAACAAACCAACAATAACCAAAATTGACCCGACAGCCTCGAGACACACAAGGGGAAACCTAAAACATCAAATGACCTAATAGCAAAAAACATTAGCAACCTTTTAATCGCTTCTTTAACTTAACAGTAAACAAATACAAAATAACAAAGCATATAACTCAAGAATCAGAGAAGATTACTTTTGTATTTTTGACT